CAAATTTACTATAGTCAAGGGACCATAGATTTTACATAGGAAACTTATTTCATGCGGTGGGTGAGGATTGCATTTCTACATTTGCGGTCCCCAAGGATTAAGCATACATCTTAAAAATAGATGCAAATAGGTGGTTTATTTAAAAACAATTTGAAACTCACAGTCTAAATGTTATATTAATAAAATTATTATTTTAAATTTTAATTTTTAATTTTTTTTTATATTCATGATCTCCATGTCAGAGATTATATGTCATTAAAAATTAAATCCAAAAAATTTTCTCAAAATATATTTTTAAAAAGTAACTAATTTCTACATAAACTCATATAAACAACGTCCTTCCGCAAATCCTTAATGAAAGTTCCCTATTCCCACCATGGTTTAGGTGTGCAATAGCATAAATGCTGGAGGATAGTATTGGCACCTATGATTTAGGTAGCAAAATAGGTAGTTATGAGTGGCTGAAACAACTAGGCCCTCATAAAAATTACAAAAGGGGTCCTGTATATTGGGGCAAATCAATTGCAAGGATGTGCTCTGTCCACGCTCCGTTTTAAAAACTCAGATCGGTGGGGTATGTCATTTTGCCACAAATTCATATTAGATCATTAGATCGGTGATTTGGATTGTGTTTGGATCAGTTCGAGTATGTGATTCTGAAAAATATTAAAAATAAATTAAAATAAAATTAAAATTAAAATTGAGATATTTATAGGGTGGGGATTTAGAGAGGATCTAAATAAACACTAGATAAGATTAAAAAAAAGAAAAAAAAATAAATTAATCGGGAACCTAGGACCGTACCATCCCATAACCAGTTCAGTTTTGACTGATTCCATTTGAATTAGCTATCCAAGTTGGAAATCATGGAATTTTAAAACACTGCTGCTAATCACAATAAGTTCGTATAAAGGTCGAAAAAATAATCGAAAACTATATATATATATATATATATATATAATTATTGAGCTGGCATGTGAAGTCTGAAAGGGCTCAATACAAATGGAGTACCTAGGTTCTAGACCTCCCGGTTTCGTCTACTAGTTCTTACAGACTTTTTATTTTTAATCTCCCATGTAAAAATAAGAAGTATACAATGAGATTATTTATTTTTTGTACAATGTGGTCACAATTAATCTTGATTATTGAATGTGATATTCCACTAATCAAGCTCAAAGTTCAATTTTTTTTCGAACTTTGTGACACGCTGAAGCTATTCGATGATCGGATAGTTATAAATAATTGTAACCTCTTTGTATCAATGGTAAATGATCTCATTTTATATTATCCCTTGAAAAAACCCAAGATAAGTTGGCTCGAAATTGATGGGTGACAAGTTTGACCCATCCATCCGTGTTTTAAAACACCGGTAAAACCAATATGTGATACGCTGCGTTTAACACACAATAAAAATAGTAAATTATGTTGCCATTTCTTTAAACCATCCTTGTTATCGATACTCGTTTTTTGAATCTAGCTACTTTTTATCTAAGTGATTGATTTGGATAGAAATCAATCACGCTTAAAGCAGTTCTCGGATAGTATGAGTCCATCCCAATCCCCTCTAAAACAATTATTCATATATATTTTTATTTTTTAAAGCTTATTTTATGTTTCTTAAGGTCCGCTCCACATCCATACTTTATTGTTTTTATGTAAACTAGACCCAATCTAGATCACCTAATTAGCAATCCAGCAGTTGGATATCTGGGTGAACGAATCACCCCACCAATCAAGGTCTTGAAACATTGGGTGATACGTAGTATAACTAATCCAAAAAAAACAGATGATACAATGTATATTGTTTAGGAAAAGATATATAGGGAATAATTTATATAGAGCTGAGACTCTAAGCAATCAAATTGTATTATACTACAAAAATTTCATTAAAAGAGGTTGTTTTGATGCTCAAATATTCTCAAATTGATCATCTAGGCATAAAAATATATGGACATGAGAGAAATTTCATGTTTTGAAATAGTGTATTTTGTAAGGCACGTTTGAACCGTCAATTTTCAAATTTTCATAGATATGTCAATGACACTATTTTTAAAACTTTAAATTTTATAAAAAAAGATGAAAATATATTTTAAGACTTTCAAAATATTTTCAATATTGAAACCACTTGAAAATAAGTTTTAATTTGATGGTTTAGAGCCAAGGTTCTATACAAATTGCACCCAACATCATATAAGATCATTTGTTTTTTAGACAAGGTAGTACGGTCAATTTTGACCATTAAATATGAGATTTAACAGTTTGAAACGTGTTACATAATTTGATAAATTTTTTTTTTGAATTTTATATCTAGTCAATGACATTATCCAAGCCACCGTATTCTATATCGGATGGTCCATGATAATTACGTTTCTTTTAGCAAAGAAAAAAAAAGACATAGTGGATAACATCATAACCAGCCACCCAATGACAATAATTGTGACTTTGGTAAACAATCTTGTCTTAGATATTATCCATCAATGCGCCTTCTTCGCGAAGCTTCTCACTCGACAAAATAAATTTAAATACAACTCAAAATTGAGAAATAATTATATAATTTCAAGTTATGGTTACAAAGTATGGGTGATGGGAAGTGAAATAGAGGAGACGTGGAGGGTGAGAAATAGATTAAAGTGATAAAATGGAATAAAGAATGGAAATTTGGACACCTGTTTCTCTCTCTTCTCTTGTTTGAATTTTCCCACGCTCTCTGGTCTACAACACGACAGACCACAGCACCGCCCCTTAATAAACAGTGGGCCCACACGCCAACTCACCTCCTTATTTTACTGCCACGTGTACGAGCCTGGTGTGCTAATTGACAAGTGTCAGACGATGATGTCACCCCCCACATGTTACAGTGAGTGTGGGACCTCCATTTCATAGGGCAGTATTCACCGCTTCTCAAAGGAAAAAGGTCCTTAATCGCTTGCTTGCACCATAAGCATATATTTGTTAACCTCCTCCATAACCAACCCTTTTAATGCCCTTAACTTTCATTCAGATGACAAAATTGTAAAGGTCACCTCCTCTCTTGACCTTTTTCAATGGAGATTATAAAATTATTTATAAAAGATGCTTAATTCAACCCCTTATTTATAATTTTTTATTTAATTTTAGAATACCTTTAAAATATGGACATGGGTTCTATACGGCCGGCCCGCATATTGTAGAAATACGTGCTTAGCAATAAATTTTTTTTTTAAACATAATTTGATCTTAATTTTTAGATAATATATAATCTTTAACATGGAGATAATGAATACAAAAAAAAAAAAAGAAATTTGAAAACTAGAAATAATAACTATATTCAGAAAACATTTGGACCATTAATTACAATTGTGTTTAGATGGATCACCTACTTGTTGCATTCATCTTTAAGATGGATGCTTTGTACCTATGTAGAAATGCCACATGAAACAATTTTCCTTAAAATATATATGGTGGTGGGGTGGAATGGTTAAAATAGGTCAAATATCACACTAAAACGATTATGGACTTGAACGATAATAAATTTATGAACGTTACATAACATCATTTCGATCATTTATTTTCAAGTATTCACAAATTTTTCACATTTGTATTATTAGTGAACTTCAATTGTAATAATAAGATGAGGAAATAACTTTTTTGATGTACACTGAAAATTCATTACTTAAAATATATGTACAAGGAAGAAGTGCCAAATTGTTAAAAAAAAAAAAAAAAAAGGAAAAAAAAACCACCAGCAGCACATTTAGTCTATGATATGTTTTAGGTATAAGAGTGCAAAAATATATTTATGGGAAATTTATTAAATTACACTTATAATTTGAACATCTTACCTATACTTCTTGATTAAATTTTAGATAAGGTATCATTTGTTTGATCAAATTTCAAATAACCCATCAAATGACACATCAAAATGACTTCTAAACTTTATCAAAACACACCTATATTGAATAAGCAGTTCAAATATTAAGCGTACTTCAATAATTTTTCCTATATTTTTACTTTTATCACAAGTACAAGGGCCGAGCTACATTTTATGATGGGATTTTGAAGTGTAACTTTTTATCATAAGCTGTGGCCTCATGCTATTGTCACCTCAACCGCCTATTTGTATTTGAGAATGTATGGTGGCTCCTTTATTTTTCTTTTTGAATGTTAGCTTCTTTTTATTTTTCTTTTTGAATGTTAGCTTCTTCTTCGTTTTTTTGAGTCAAAGAGAGAAACTTTTGGTTTGAATCTTCTTTGTATATTCTCTTAAGTCTGGAAATATAAGCAGCTCATTTTAGGGTTTCTTGGTATTATATGGAGATTTTTTTTGGTTCAAACCTGAATCACTCCTTTCCATGTTGTCTTAAGGTTGGCAATATGAGCAAATGATTTTGGGCACTTTTTGGTAATCTCAATTAAGTTTGGAAAATGGTTTGATAAGGTTATAGCTCTATCCAAATAAGTAAAGCCTCACGTCATAACTTGTGATTTAAGCATTGAAAATCTTTACATGGATCATATCGGATTGAACAATATAATTGTAAAAAAAAATTAGGATTTTAAATTCCAAAAATAATACAGATCCGTACTTTTTTAAGATATCATATCTAATTGATTTAAAAATAAGTGTTTTTACCTTTTTTTGAATTTCAAATGCCATTGTCGATATTGAAAATCGATTTTAAATCCATCGTCGTAGAGATTTCGATAAAAATACTTAATTTCAGACAAGGCTTTATTATGTTTTCAACTACTTTTCATGAAGCCTTGGGCCTCACAGAGACTTCGTCCATTGAGTTTTGGGTCAATCTGGTATTGATCGGAACAATTGGGCTAAACGGAGTTTTCCCCTACTTTCTGAGACCCTTGTTTGGGTCACCATCTAACATTACTTTTTTCACCGATTTTGATTTCACCGTTATTCAAAAACCTGGATCACCTTTACCTCTCTCTTTATCTCTCTAAACTAATGTCTTTCTCTCTCTACGTAGCTTCCTGGTAATGAAGCATTGAAGCTTTTGTGGGGTTCAGATCTCCTGTCCTAAGGCCTATATAATCACATCCAATAAATTTATAAAAGGCCCAGAGTCCTCAGGCTTTTAATTGCAAGGAAGGTATTGTCTCAAGAGAAGCTTCTGGCACCATCCACTAAAACCCCCATCAAGGTCATCTCTTATAAGTTCTTGGTTTCTCTCTCTAGTTTCAGTTGAAACCCAGTAAAGATACAAGCCCTGTTTCTTTGCTTTCTCTCTCATACCCATATTTTATCATCACCCTTTTTCTTTTTTTTTTATCAGAAGTTTACCTGTTTTCTCTCTGAACTTGAGCTTCTGAGGCCATATTTGAAGCTCTTTCCTTGAAGTTTTAGATTCACAATGGGGAACAGCAAAATAGAGGGGACTTTAGAGTATTTCTCAGATTTGCTGAGTAGAACTCAAAAGAAGAAGAAGAAGAAGCAGTTCCAGACCGTGGATCTCAAGGTCACCATGGATTGTGAGGGCTGTGAGAACAAAGTGAGGAAAGCTGTTTCTTCACTGAAAGGTGAAATCTTTATTTCTCTCTCTCTCTATCTCTCACATTTTGGAGACTTGGGTTATCTCCATGTTCTCTCTTTTCATTCCTTTTGGAATACTTAGGCCTATCTCTCTATTTCTATGGAAATAAGATCCCTCTCTTGAACATTATGAAAATTAAGAACTTTTTTTTTTTTTTTTGCTTCTTTCTCAAATTAAGATATGTGAAAGGATCAAAGAGAGAAGTCCAGGCATGACTTATTTTCTTGTTCTCTCCAATGATATTTTTTGAGGTTACTCAAACCCCACGTTATTGTTTTTGTTCAGGTGTAAAATCTGTGGAGACAAGCAGGAAAGACAAGAGGGTGAGTGTTACTGGGTATGTGGAGGCAAAGAAGGTACTAAAGAAGGTTCAGGACACAGGGAAAAAGGCTGAGTTTTGGCCTTATGTACCCTACAATCTAGTTGCCCACCCTTATGCTCCTCAGGCCTATGATAAGAAAGCTCCAGCTGGTTATGTCAGGAATGTTGAGAGCATTGTTCCCACAAACTCTGATGACAAGCAAGAAGAGAAGATGACATCCATGTTTAGCGATGATAACCCTAATGCCTGCTCCATTATGTAACTCCTCTCTCTATAAACTGGAATGGCTAAGAATTGCTCATGGGTTCTTTTCTCTCTTTGTAAGTTTTGATGGGGAGGGAGACCCTACTTACGGGTTTAATCCCCTTCCCTTTGTAAGTTTTTGATGGGGGTACCACTTGTCATGTGGTTTCTTCTCTTTCCATATCTCTGTAACTTTTGGTGGTGGATAAAAATTATATGTTCATCTGTATATGTTTAATACTTGAATTCCCACCCTTTTTAGGCCAGAAAAAAAGGGGGGAGATTTTTCATGAGAAAGTATTCTATGGTTTGCTGCCTTGGGTCTTGTTCTTTTATTTTATATTTTATTGGCTTTTACTGTTTTTACAGGGGGCACCTTAGTTGAAGATTTTATTCAAAATTTTAAGGGATTCCATTTCTGTTTAGGAGATGGTAACCTTTGGGATGTGTTTTTTTTTTTTTTTTTTTTGAGCTTATTAGAGATTCATGTAAACATTAATGGTGATTGTCAGAGGATCCTATAAGATCGTTAGTCTTATTAAGTATAATAATATTATTACGAATGGTCCCCTCTCTTTCTCTCTTCTTGATTGGTTAGAAATGGTTGTCGATTGTGTGGTGGTACGTACCCATACTGCGAATATGCGGTAGCAATACCTCGAGATTGGTAGATGTGTATATGGGCTTTGTGTGGAATTATGTATTTCAATTCCAAAAGGCAAAAGAGATTCTTCGAATTCAAAAGTGGGGAAAAGATATCCAACCACTTCGTCCATGAGATTCTTCTCAATCCATACCTCTCGAAGGTAACTTTTACATGAAAACTATGTATCATCATCATCGTTACTTTCACTTTTTTCCCAGCTAATTTGAGTGGGCTATTACCATAATTGATATAAAAATTTTCAGAAAATACATGTAAGGTATTATAAGTGCATGTAAGATAGAAATTTTTAATTTAGCGATTAAACTAAAGATATATTTACTTACCCTCGGAAGATAAAAAAAGCACTAAAGATAAATTTACGTGGATATTCATTTCCCTTATATCTATTATTTGGCTGTCCCAAATTTTTGTATTTCTTTTTTTTTTCAACGACTTTTATGCAAGAACTTGAACTTCCAAAGTTTGGAGATTGAGGTTCAAATTTGATGACCAATTGTTAGGTCCAAAGTAGTTTAAATTTAGATTGAGGTTCAAATTTGATGACCAATTGTTAGGTCCAAAGTAGTTTAAATTTTTTTAAAATTTTTTATTTAAACATTAGTCCAAACCTTTTACCGTTTTTTTTTGTTGAACATTTTTTCATTTTCTTACACTTCGTCCATATGTTTTTCGCATTAACTTAATTTGGAAGTTGAAGGTTTAAATTTATTCACCTTATATGGTAAATGTTTTAAAATTGTCTAATTTGGAATAAATACAGAAAAAGAGAAAAAGTTTGAACTTAGAAATAGACTTTCGAGAGGATTTTTTAAATTTGCAAGGTTTGCATTAGTTGTTAATTTTATAGTTGATTGTGAAATTTAAAACTTCAAAAATAATGAAGATTGAGGATATATATGAACAATTAAAACTTTTAAAAAATTAATAATTATATTTTAATCACTTGGATTTTTTTTCTTCTCCCGTATCCATGCATTTTAAGGCTCAAATGATCAATTTGAGGGTTTTCAAGGATCTTTTCTTATGGGTTTTTGAGGTGTATAAAGAACTTTATATAATTTATTTCCTTTTTTTAACTTTTAAATTTGGTTTTGCGGTCTTTCTCAATGTTATCAAATTCATTTTCTTTCGCTTGATGAGGCTGAAGCCTTTCGATTTTTAGTAAAAATTGAAGCGCAGAGAAATGTGTTGCTGCCGTTTCTATTAGATTGGGGTCGTTTTGGGTTGCTTTGGGTTGCTTTGGGTATGCTTCGGTCGAAGCTTTGGGTTGCTTTAGTAAGAAAATAAATATCTATATAAAAGTATTTTTTTATTTTTTTTTTAAATTTTTATTTTTTTCATTATTTTTATATACTTTATATATAAATATATAATTTATTTATATTAAATTAAACAAAAAAATCCGAAATCTTCTTTCAAATCGACTGAAACAACATATCGATACATTTTTCTAACAAAACCGAAAAAGGCTGGCGAGTGTATCTGACAACATTGGTCTTTTCCTTGCACTAGTAGCTTATTTTGGTAGTCGAGCTAATCTTTTTGAATGAACTTATTCCAAAATTGCAAATTTGTCTAAATCTTCAAGGGAAGGTTACGAGGTCCCGCGGGTGAAAACGCCCTGAGGAGCATTTGCTGGATCACAGGGCTCCCAAATTATCTTTATCTCAGAAGATTCCATGCTCCTAAAGGAGCATACTATTGATTTACTCCCTTAGGTAAAATCCAATCTAGAAATAGTTTTAAGACCCCATGTTTTTGAGGACGTAACATTCTCAACCCATATGCCAAACTCAATAAACAAAAAATTTTTTTTAGAGGTGTACTCCATGTGGCTTGAAAAAGTAATCGAACCATCCAATTTTTGAAGTGTGAGATCCAAGTGTTATATAACTCAAAATCTAAATTTTTTCTTTTAAGCATAATTAGCTAGTGATTTTTAGGAAGTTCCCAAAATTACGAATCAAAACAATCCTATTGAGCAAATCTTCTATCCGAGGAGTTGGTGTATAGTATGCTCCAACAAGAGTTCGATATACACGAAACTTCAAGGAGAAAATTTGAATAGGGAGGTAAACCCAATAGCTCCCAGTATTATCTTAATCTTACTCCAAAACTTTTAAGGAGTAGACTGACTTGGAGGTATGTAAATGCTTAATGGATGCCGTAACGAATTTGTATTTTTTTTTTTGGTAATTCAGTAGGATGGCGAGTTTCTACCTGTTTTTCTAAATCGTTGGTTTAATGCGTTAGGTGAGAATAGAAACTTAGACCTTAACAGTTGCACAAGTGGTACTATTACCACAACCCCAACCCTATTCTCAATTCTCAAATACCACAACCCCAACCCCATTGTCCATTATTCTTGAGAATTGAGAATGAAAGCCTAAACTTGCCAAAGCTTCTTTGCACGACTCAATCAAAACTCATCATCAAAGCCTTTTATTCATTATCAAAGCCTTTTCCTAACTATTTGGGGTTGGCTACGCAATCAAAACTCTCGAAGTAAATTTGGGTTTCGAGTTTGGATCGAAGAGATCCGAACACTTGTAAATTTCGGTACTAATTCTCCGTTTGAAATCTCTTAAGTTTTGTCTTTATCAAGTTTATTCTCTGGTGAAGTTCATGCCTACGGTTAGATTAAAAGCACAAAAATAGGCTTAAGAGATTGAATTTCAATTGCAAAGAGATGTCAAACTTACAAAATCAACCAAAAACTTGGCCTATTTTTTATCTAAAAAAAATATCTCAAATCTTTTGTTTTCCCTCAAATGTATTGTATATAGCAGCTAGATCAGGCTAAACTCTATCTGAGCATGAAATTTGCCTCAAATAAAAATCTCCTTTGAGGTTGGATCCGAACCATCTGCCTCGAAATATCACATGGAAACTTGAAGCTTAAAATCTTTCTTGTTTTCCTGTTTTTATTTTAATAACGACGTTAATCACATTCAATTATAAGGGATAAAATTTCCCCCTTTTGCCGTGCTTTAAGTCCGGCTGGACCACCATTCATTCACACAAGAGTCATGGTCTTTCCGGGGGATCTGAAATGGAGTGGACTACTTTTTTTTTTGGGTGCATGTTTACTTTCGCATTTAAGGCATGCCTTTTTCATTTTGGCTATTGGGCTTCCTGAATTTTTGAAGCACCTATAGATGCTTTGATGTGAGATGTGATGCTTTTCGTGTGGAGATCGCAAACTCGGCCAGTCCAAACCGGGACCGGGCATTGTCTGATCTGGTTTTGGCCCATTTTGGTTGTCCGCCCGCTTATTTAAAAAAATTTAAATAAAAAAATAAAATCTCAAAAAACAAGAGATTTATTTGTAATATTTTTTAGATATTTTTTTTTTTATTTATATCATTTTGGCTATGAATACTTATTGAACCATTGTTTCATGCAAGCTGGATTGCATTTCTACAATACATGGTCCAGAGGTATTAAGCATCCATCTTAAATATGGATGCAAATAGGTGCTCTATCTAAAAACAATTGTAACTAACGGTTCAAATGTTTTTTTAATATAATTATTATTTCTAGTTTTGAAAATTTATTTATTTATTCAAATTCATGATCTCCATTTTAAAGATTATTATATTTTCTAAAAATTAAAATCAAATTATATTTACAAATATATTTATTGCCAAGCCTCATTTCTACATGTGCAGGCTTGGCCACATGCTAACCGCATCCATGCTTATTTTTATGTCTTCCTATCTTCTTTTAGAAAATTTCAAAAATGGTTGTAGATACAAATCAATTTTTAAAAATCTATTTTTCCTGGCTACGTTTCAATTTTATTTGGGTGTGCTTTGTTTAATCAGCTTTATACATATTTTTCATATTTTTTTTGGGTTTTTGTTTTAATTTTTGTGAAAACTTTTTGGATCAACTAGGACCTGCCTGATTAAGCCGGTTGAACCAGCCAGTTTACAAGTTACACCAACCTGGCCCTTGCTGGTTTCCGAGGCCGGTTCGATTTTTCGAGCAAGTAGATATTGCTTTTTCATGTAAATTCAGTGGGCGATGCATGCAAAGGCGGTAAAGAGCAAACATTTTTTTTTTAAAAAAAAAAAGAAAAAGAAAAAAAAAAAAGAAAAAAAGAAAGACGGTGGTAACCTTTTTCTCTTCTCGGCAAAAATACACCAACGAAACTTTGGTGCCACTTGGGTACGATTTAAGCGTTCAAAAGCTCAAATTCTAATTTTCTTTATTTTTTTATAAATTTTTCTACGACATTGGGATGGTAATGGGCTAGACTTGGGTTGGCCTGACCCTTACCCTAGCCTGGCCCTGGTCCCTATAGGGTGGGCCCGAGCTCAGCTGGACCGGGATCTGGCCAAAGAGGCCCTACCCAAATTTGGCTCCGGCCTGGTGGCCTGGCCCTAGCCCAGACCCAGAGGCCAACCTATTGCCACCCCTAGCGACACCCTAATCGATCCCAGCATTTTATGTAGATAGATTACCATAGTAAGTTGGGTGCTCCCGCGAAAGCTTATTATGCATACTCTTACCAAAATTTCGCTTCGGCCTAAACCTATAAGTACATAAATGGGGATTCATCTATGCCCCTTTTGACATTAATGTTCGAAATGACTAACCTAAAAATATTTATCTCAAAAATAAAAAATAAGGACTAACCCCAAAATTGGTCTTTTCTATCGTGGGAAAAAGATATCTCTGTTATGCCTATCACTTTAAGAAAGAGTTATTATTATTATTATTATTTCATCACTTTTAGTGGAAAAGAATATGTGAGGTATGAATTTTGCATGAACAAATGCACAAACAATTCTTGGACAACGAAAGTGAATATGTACAAAACAATTTCAACACATTAATCGCTAACCTTACTTTGGAAACCTTCCCATAAATCATCTTTTGTTTTTTGTTTTTGGTACTTGTAGCATTGCTAATTGTGCGCTGCTAACCCAAGTTCTTTACCTCCCCCGGCCCCATTGGGGGTCTTTCACTGATTTTTTTTTTTTTGTTTTCCTTTTGTTTTGGAATTTATTCATTATCTTAATGAAGCTCACACTTAAAAAAGAAAAAAAAAAACTTAAGCCCAAGCTCGATTCCTCCTCTTGAACTCTCTCCTTAGCTAAAGCATCCCCTTCTTCATTGCCACACGTGTTCCAATGACACATGCACCTGTTGCTTTGGTATCTGGAGGTTCGAGTTTTAGCGGTAAATAAATATTTGTAGTAGGTATTTTAATAAAAATATCAAAAAAAAAAGTCTAAGTTTCAAATGTTTGACATAAAATTATATTTGGTATGTTAACCTAGGCCATGGCATTTACATGCCCATGCATTATCTAAAGAACATTATCTAAAGAACGGGGACGTAGAACTTTTAGCGAAATAAAGCACTCTTGCAATGGTGTTTTACTATAAGAAAAGTAAAAAGAAGAAGTCTCAAAGTGTTAAAAGTTACAATTATGTGTGTATTTGTATATAAATACAAGACTGAGGGAAAGTTGGGTGTGACTTTTTCTTCTAGAGTATGAAAAAGCTTTCCCTTGAGTTTGATGCGCCACTCTTTAAAGTTTAAATTCCTCACCTTTTTTGTTCCCCATTTTCCTTAAAAGTTCTTCTCCTCTCTTTCTTTGTGTGATAAAGTTTAACATAAAATTTTGTCTTAAAATTTTCCCTTGAAAATATGTGTTCCTTGTTTAAAGCTTATAAAAAAGGTCATATTTCCCTGTTAAATCTCTTACTTTTGTTATTTAAATCTAATTTTGAAAAGTTAAAGCTTATAAAAAAAGTTCACATTTCCCAGTTAAAATCACTTACTTTTGCTGTTTAAATCTAATTTTGAAAAGTATGAACTACAAAGAAGAAATCTTAGCACTAAAAGCTAGAAACTTATAAGAAAAATAGAAGGAAGAAATAAAATATTAGGAAGATATTAGAAAATAAGAATGAAATAAAAAAATCTTAAAAAGATATAAGAAAATGAGAATTATTTAGGAAGATATAAAAAATATATAACAAAATAGAAGGAAGATTGAAAATAAAATATAAGTTATTAATTAAAATCTAAAAAAAATAAACAGCTACAAAATAGACTAAGGCAATAATAGTCAGATTGGAAGGTGCTACAACATAATGTCTTGATTTCCATTTTTACCATGGGTAGAGACCCTTTCCAAGTTGAACTACGCCACAAAAAAAAAAAAAAGAAAAGAAAAGAAAGAAGCGCTTCATAGACAATGTTGCATGAATTTAAAATACAATTGAACTTGGAATGTATTGTTGCAATCCTCAACAACCAACCATTCAAAACCAAACTCAATTCAACATTAAGTTTGGAACAAACATTAAAAATTGTTATTTATATTTTTTTCAACTAAAAGCATAGTGTAATGCACAAGCCATGTTCATGAACGTGCATGTCCAAGTTATATGAAATAAATCCTGTCCCAGGTTTAAGTGCACATGATGCAGTCAAGCAGACCAGTATTACCTTTGGATTTGGAACAAAAATTAGGTGAAGATTTTAATATTGGGCTTGAAAGTTTTGTATTAACAATAAAAAATATCTTGAAGTGGGTGTATTATAGTATAGATTTTTATTTTTAATATTAAGAAGATCTAGAAAAAGTGCTTGTCGGTAAATATATATTGATTTCATGTGTTCTGTCGTACGTGGGTTTTTTCCTACCAGAGGAAACAACCTGGTCAGTTCTGACCGGCAATCGAAAGCTAAAAGCCTAAAACCTTAAAGTGAACTTCATAAGGAAAAAAATGAAACCCTAAAAGTCTAGAACCTTAAAGTAAGCTCGAATCTAGCTCATACCAAGCACTCAATCTCTCTCTCTAGCTCATGCCAAGGACACACACACTCTCTCTCATGCCAAAAACTCTCTCTCTCTAAAAGAGAGCATGAACTGGTCTCCACTTCATGCTTAGCATATAGATAAAAATGTCCACTCTCTCTTTAAAAGAGAGCATGAATTGGAGTCCAGTTCATGCTCAGCATATAGACAAATGTATTTTCTGTCTCATGCTCTCTCTCTTTTTTGTTTATTTCCAGCCGAATATGAACGGTTTCATTCTACATATAAAACTAGGGGCAATCTCAAAGGTAAAGAGAACTGGTGCTAAAAAACAACTATTTGGTTAAAGACCAACCTAACAATCCAATATAAATGTTGTCATTCCTTGATTTCTATAATCTTCTTACGAACCATAACAATCCCAATTAAAGAAAATTTTTATCAAATGTAAGGGGTGTCAATGGAGTCGACCAGACCTGGGACTTGATGGGTAGACCCGACATTGGGTCCAAATTTTAGACCTGAATACTATTCGGGTCCGGGTTAACCCGGACCCCACCTGGACCCAACCTGACATGGATAATATGCCTATATATGGGTATTCATAAATGCTGCCAATAAGTTTATTTCTTAAGAATTTCCAATTGTTGCCTAATAGTAAGGAATGCGGGTATACGTGGGTATTCATAAATGTTGTGCAATACTATAAATGTTGTCAATAATATCGGAATATGATGGTAAAAAAAGGCAAAAAAAAAAAAGAAGAGAAAAAAAAGAAGCTCATAGTCATAGGGTGGCAATGGAATCGACCAGGCCCAAGATCCGACGGGTAGACTCAACCTCGGGTCTGTGTATGGGTCCAAATTTTGGACCTCAAAGTTCATGTCTGGGTCTAGCCATTGCCACCCCTAATCAAATGGTAGGGGCTACTTTTGGTTATGATGGGACTATAAACTTCAAAGGGTTCTTCTCTTTTAGCTTTAACACAGACCATTTTGAGGATCACGGGGCAATTTGGTTTCAAAATTCTTCACTCACATTTAAATGAATTATTTAGATACATTTTGATACATTGGCTTTACAAATTGCCGTTTGGATCACTTGTAAACTGCAACAAAGAGAATGTCATACAAAAGCGTCGCATTCGCCGGGATGTTACAATCACCTGCAAAACCAATCCCATTAGCCTCAAGTCTCAACCAACTCATATGGATTCATGCATAATAAATCCTCATTCTATGAAATTCCGGGAATTTTTACTACTTTGAGAGTAAATTTTTTCATAAAAATGTCAAAATCAGTTGAAATTACAAACTGGTTTTGGACCATCATGTGGAATGGTCGAGAATGCAAACTCTAGTATACTTGGGGTTTCAATTTGATCCTAATATTTGAGAAAAGCAGTATCAGTGCTTTTGGGAAGACGGGCATGATGACTGAGTCTACATTAACCGGGTTTGCTATTTAAATTTTCCACAAGAGAGACAAAAGGTAATATATTGTAATTCTACCTGAAAAGCATCCGGCTGGTTCAGGGCCATATGCTAATTCTGGAGGTATCAGAAGCTTGCGTTTTCCACCTGTCAAGAATCAGAAAACGGGGGAATTGACCAATCTCACCAAGAAATGACAGAGAGATGATAAAAATACGATAAAGATTCAACATTGTTGTAAATTCATTTAGAGGAATGTGCACCTGCATGCATTGGAGGGACCCCATCTCCACCCATAATCCCTTGATCCAATCCAGGGATGACCTGTATTCATGTGAAGATCAAAGGATATAGAAATCAGTTTTACACCATCTTTTTTTCTTCTAATATTAATAGTGTTCCAAGAGGCTTCTGGAAATCCCAGTTGCTGAATGGGAATAGCTAACTGGATTCAATGAAAAAGAACGATATAAAAAGAATCAAAATGAATAGAAAAGAGGCTGAATTCAAGAGAACTGACAGCACAATTGCAATTTGGTCATGGTTTAGCCTAACAATGCTTTGCTTTATGATTCAAAGGATGTTTGGTTAAATAAACATGAATACAATTTTCCAGAGTGATATGACACTCATATGGGTGAGCACATTACAAAATTAACATGAACTCAAACTGATGTAGAGGGGAAGCAGAAAATTATGTCACCTTTCCAGCACCAATACGCATTGTGAGTGGTCTTCCTCGTTTATAGCTGCTGTCAAAGACTGTTCCATCCATGAACCTTGCAGTGTAGTGAATCTGCAACAACAAAGAACTTGAAGTGACAACCATTAATTACTTTTCACAATCAAAGAAACTGACCCAACATGGCAATGTGTTAATCAAGTTGGCATTTAAACTATAAAAGTTAAATTATACACAAAAATATAAAGATCCAAAATAAGTGAACCATGGTCATAGCAGAGAATGTTTACTATCAACTCATGTGAACTGTCTCTTCAAGGCTAAGAAATGCCTTGACCTTGACTTGGTAAATCATGATAGGAAACCTTTGTTCATTTGACTTGGGAAATTTGTATTTATGATTAGTAGTTAGAAATATGCTGAAAAATCCTGTAATATAAGTATAATTGAGAAAAATAAATATGATGGAAGAAAGCAAGGAAAAATAATGAAAATGAGAAATAATTAGTTTGTTATCTTATCTTGAATTACATGAAATAAACATTTGTCAAACAAGAACAGAATGTCTTGACAAATATGAATTCCAAGATTAAAATTTACAGACTTGTGTTCTCTGGAATGATATAACTATAGAAGTACAGATGAAACATGAACTTGTACATCGTGCGGGCAAATTAACAAAATTTTGAATAATAGACAAATTATATGGGATTGTATTTTCACTGTAAGAATATATACAATAGATAATTCCCATGTCCATTAAAAGCACCAAACGTTTGCTCCTCAGTTGCAGGGGAGATGGGATCAAACATAAATCCCCATTCTGTATGTTCTATTCCTAGTGCAGGAAATTTAGTGTGCAGGAAGGATTCCCTAAACATATTCAGTGATCTACGAAACATGATTCTTTTGTGATTGGTGACTTGTTTTCAAATTTATTTTTCCTAAAGTATTCCCATGAAAAGGAGAAACTTATTTATGTACCTAACTAATGTCGACTAGTCGCATATAAAACTTTATTTTTTGTCCTGGTGCTGATTTTTGTTTTTTTTCCTTTGTTACATCAAATCAAATTGTGTACATGCAAAATCGGAGAGGCATCTTAAGCTTTTGGCTGGCAAGTACTACTCAAGTTTACTATACTTGAGGGGCTAAGCCTCAAAACCTGATAAATCTTGTGAATACGATATTGAGAATGATGCGAATCTTGAGGCAGTGGTTTGGGATAATTGATCTTGTTATGGTTCTCATTCATGCGGTATCTTTATTTATTCTGAGGTAATTTGATATGCATTTCCTTCTTAAACAGATTAATAAAATAGCCTTCAAATGTATTATTATCTTTCTTTTCTTCTTATTCAGTCTGGTGTATATGGTTCTTCTTCACAAAGGTTCTTTCCTTGTTATCTATAAAATTCATTAGGGATATGGGTCTTGCTGGACAAATAAATGTGAGGCACATAGCGATCCATGGTCAAATCTGTAGGTGCTGCTTACCAAAGGAATTTTCAAAGGGAATGTTTTACATGTGACCTCACCCACGTCTAAAGTACATGTCAGATCTAAGTAGATGGCTGGGATGGTTGAGTCGTAATGTCACAAATTGGCTCTCAAGCGTCAGATCTGGATCCAATGGCTCAAAGTGTTTTATTTTTAATCTTTATTTCTATACATCATTTTGTAGTGAAATTTGGGGCATACATAAATCTGATAGAGGTGCAAATGATGGAATAATAATAAAAATTTCCCTTGGTGAAAAATTACCAGAATACCCTTGAAGTTCTTGAGGGCATTTTGGTAATTTATTTTGTGAGAAATATATATATATTATTTTTGCTAGGCGTGCCCCAATAAGAATATGGGATGTCCCGAATTTCACCCAAATGTGTTTGTACAAAAAATTAAAATCAAAAAGTGTTTTGGCGTGATATTGTGACATGAGCAATCCTAACCATCTGTTCAGATCAAACGGCTGCGAAGTGGGGTCGCATATAATTTATATGTGGGTGGGGTCACGTAGAAAGATTTCCCATTTCCTAAGGAACAAGACACATAAATAACTAAGAAGCTTCCATACTCATCAATTTAGCATGCAGAGTGTAGAAATATGTTACTTTTAGGCCTTTATAAGGAAATCATGGTAGATTATAGCTCCTATTATGACATTAGATGGCAAATTAACGTTACCACATGGGACTACCCCTAGAATATTTGTACATGCATCTGTCTATGACTATATAAACACATCAATGAATCAAGAAAATTTTAACACCTTTTCTTGCAATTGGTTTTATTTGATTGACTATAGCTTAAAGGTGGATAATGTCATAAATGATTCACATTGTGGAGGCCTCCTTTCCTCGAAGATCGATATGGGGCATAGATAATGGACAACATCAAAGAAAAAGGGAGAACATTAAAAGGACATTTAGTCAAAATGATATAGACTGAGTTGGAGAGGCTCTTTTTTAGGTGTCCATATAGAGGAGATGCTGCATTTGGGGGAATATAATGCGTCAGAGTTCTAAGGAAGTGAGACTTGGGGACTCCTGAGTAAGGACTTGAACACTCAACGAAAATAAAATCCTAAGGACTTTGAGAAAGAAAGAGTCTCTTGCTGCAGAAATGGCATCAGCTAGTTCCTACAATATTTCTTGAACCCCACTTGGGATAGAGGACAATCTTTTGACCGAAGAAGGTGTAATGTTACATAGGATGGTAATGTATCTGACAAGGTATCTTATATCATTCTCATACATAGAGGCTGATCAGAAAGCTAGCTCATAGAATTTGGGCTTATTGACCAGCCATGTAACCTCTGCAAAACTTTCCTCCTTCCACGAGTGGATTCGAGTATGTCTTTTAAAACTATAAAAAGACTCGAGGAATAAAAACTCCATACCAGGCCCCTTTGAATTGCTGATTCGACAAAAAGCCAGTTTGGACATATCACTTATTAAAGAACAGAGTCATTCTTTCCTTTACACATTAAGGAATCACAGCCCAAAGTGTACACAACCTTGCCATGAAAGAACCTGTTTTTCACTTGTTCCTAAATGACAGCCTTCCTTAATGGGGTTGTTGGGCAGCCAAATGGACCAGTTATTGTGCATATGTATGGACCACGATTAACCCTTGAGCTCCATCAAAAGAATTGGATCTCTCAACTCTAGACCAAAGGTCCTGAGATTAGGTAGTTTCTCTCTGGAGCCCATAACTTAATGGAAATTGCATCACTAGGTTTCCCTTAGAATGGGATGGATATCAATTGATCCACTACTCCACCAGCCATATATTGCCCAAAAGGAAGTAAAGTTACATTTGGAATTCTCTTCTGAATTATGTAAATAACTCAATGCATTCTATAAGTTAAAGTTTGAGAATATGGGGCACCGGTAAGAAAGTTTCTTGTTGCATACATTGTGTTCAGTGCATAATCTTCACAATCAACCCACAAAGGCAAACATTAATTTTAATCTCAATTCCAAGTTTAAACTGTTCTAAACACTATCCTCTTTAAAAAATTTCAAATCAGTCATTTCAAAGCTTGAGGCACTAAACCTTATATCAGCAGTTCTGCAACAATAAGCATTCCTAAGAATAACCATTCACAAATGCAAGACTACGACCTTTAAATTTCCCCAAACTAGAGAACTACAAATTTATGCAAAACGCAGCATTCATCATACAGGCAATTCATCACTACTAACCTCGTTTCGAATCAGATAACATGAAGCAGAAACTCAAAAAGGCTTTGATAAACAATTTCACAAAAACCAAAAAGAAAATAACCTAAAAAAAAACCAAAAGGAAAATAATGGGAATCTTCATTGAGGCCTACATATTCCCCCATCAAGAAATTCAGAACCCAAAAGCAAGAAACCCGAAAAAAATCACCTCCAATTCATTAGGATGCAAGCTCAATTATCAGATTCTTCAGAAAACGAGAAGTTGATTTCCTTTAGTTCAAATTAATTCATTAGGATGAAGCTTAATTATCAGATTCTTCAGAAAACGAGAAGTTTATTTCCTTAAGTTCAAATTAAGGGAATAGAAGTCGTAAAGTTTAAATTAGAGGATAGAAGCCAACTTGACGAAACTACTTTGGGATTGAACAAAGAGTTCTCACTCACATTTATAAGTTCGCCCAGAGGAGCTTCAACACCATTGCCGACCGAAATATCGCAGTACCCAAGTCCAGACTTGACATAATTCAGGTCACAAGAAGGCTCCTCCACTGTAGCATAATACTCAACTCTTGTAGCTCTAGCCTCCTCTAATGGCAATGCAAATAACGCGCCTAAAAGACCGAAACCCACATTTAAAAACTGCTTTCTAGTTGAGGAAACATCCTCTAAAGAGAGATTCAAAGATGGGGCTCTATGATTAGAAGGGGCTGAGACGTTTTCTGAAATTGAATTGGGTTTTAGAGAGAGAAAAGTGGTTTTGGGGCCTATTGGTTGGTGGAGATTGATGGGTTTTGAGGCTGCAAAAATTGTAGAGGCAGCCATTGGTGGGAGTTGCAGAGTACTTGTATGGATACGGAAGATATGGATTGCATTTGGGTTTAAATTGTGAACCAAGAGATATGGTTTTGCATTTGCAGGGGTGGCAATGGGGAGGGTGGCCTGGCCCAGCCCCGCCCAGTGCGGTATGCCGGGCCCACATAATTAGGGTCTGTGCTACAAAATGAGCCCCTGGATGGGCCTGTCTGGCCAAGATATACTCGGCTCGATTCGGCCCCGCCCCGTTCTTAGTTTTTTCTTCTTTTTTCTGGTTTGTTTTCTTTTAATTTTATCCCTGCGGCCTTGATAGGCCAGGGCTGGGCCTCAGGGTAAGAGGCCCAGGCTAAGGATATGCCAGACCTAGGCTCGGCCCCGCACCGCACATTGCCAACCTTAATCGGTAACTGCTTAAAATTTTTGAGCTCGTTGAGCGTATCTCTACGGATCAATATGTACACTTAGTCCCTCTTTAGGAAGATTTATTTCAAACGATTTTTTCTGTTTGAAATTTAAGGGTCCAATTTAAAATCACAATATGAGTAGGAAAAGTATACAAATAGACCATTTAGTTTTGGGGTGTGGTTTGTATAGAGCCACACCTCTAAACAATCAAAGTAAGCGCACCTTCAAATAGTATGGAGAAATATGCTTTTATTATTGGAAAATCTTTGTGATAGCCTTAAAATATATTTTTATATTTAATTACAAAATTTAAAGCTTCAAAAAATAATGTAGATCGAATAGATCTATGAAAAACTTGAAAATCTTGAAAGTCTTGAAAATTGATGGTAAAAAAATGTGTTACAAGATGTACCATTTCCAAAACTTGAAATCCATTTTTTTCTGATAGCCGTGCATCTTGATGTCGAGATGATCAATTTGAGGATACTTGAGCATCAAAATAACCTCTTCTAGTGAAATTTTTGATGTGGGCTCTAATTTGATTGTTTAGAGCCTAGACTCTATATATACTATTTCTTTGTTTGTCTATTAAATTTTAAATGGGACAGTTGTGAGTGTACCATTGATTAGATTCCAAGTTTACTTTTTTTTTTCAAACTTTGTGACATACCTTTAGCCCTCCAATTTGACATTTAATGGCTAGTTCCAATTGTGACTCTTTATACAAAAAAAATAAATAATCTCATGGTATACAATCCCATTAAAAAAAATATAAGATTCACTTACAAATTTCTAAACATTTGGTCAACCTAAGTGGCCGATCCGATTTAAATGACCCTAATTGTAGAGAAGGCCGACGAGGACGACTCACTCCAAAAGAAGTGATATTGGATACCGCACTTCGGTTTAGGTGTAAAGCCCGAAGTGTTCCACCTCTTCGGCCGAAGCGAATCAAACTTGATTTCATCGATTAAGATTTGGGATAAGAGTTTTTTAGGAAAACCATTTTCCGAACAGCTCATCATTTAACTTAGGCCAGCCAAATAACAATATTTTCCAATTGAAAAGAAGCATTTCCTAACTCTAACCAAGTGGGTGTAGACCGTGTTACCCTGACACCCAACTCCTGGGTTAATCTCTCATGTTGAGTAGGGAACCTACTGTGGTCTACCATTCTACCACACGTACTAGGTGCAAAATGTACAAAATTAATTGAATACATATTTTCAAATATGGTTTTATTTAAATGCGAAATTTATGTGTAAAATTTTTAGGTCGAAATACTGGACACCTTATGTGCGTGTCACCATAGTCATTTCGCTAAAGCTATTTACTTGGCTTGGTCTTACGTTGAGCCACATGATAAATCTACCCCTTCTTGTTTAGGGTTAGCAACTCCATAACAAGATTTTAATAAGAAAAACATGTTCCAGTGTCCAAACAATATTAGAGGCTGTTTGGGTGTTTTTTAATATTACCCTTGATGAGGTAGACAAGTGAAAATAATTATACGAAGTAATTACTGTTTTGTTGAATTAGATGGTATAAAATTATTCCATGCAGTGCGGGACGCATTTTTATGTATCCCCTGAGGTATAAAACGTCCATCTTTAAGATGGACGCAAGTGGGTTATCTATTTAAAAACAATTGAAATAAATGGTCTAAATTTGTTTTTTATAAAATATCTATATTTAATTTTCAAAATCTATCCATTTTTTCATATTCATGATCTCCATGTTAGAGATTACATGTCATTAAAAATTATGTCCAAAAAATCCATCTCAAAACTAAATTTTTAAGGGGGATTCAATTCTACATCCACCTTATTAATCTTTTGAGGTGGTGTTGCCGTGCCAATGATATTTTCCTTTTAAGAGAAGTGTGTCTTGGTACCTTATTAAAGGGTGGCGGTTGTGCTTGACCGTGTTTGGTTCTATCCAAAAAGTAGAAAAGAAAAAGATTTTTAAAAGTTCCTATAATCACCATGATTGCCAATTATACGCACTTATACCCTATGGAGTACACTAAATCCCATTAGCCAATCCCTTACCGAGGTGGAGTTCTTGATCTGAAATTCTGCAAAAGCATCTCTGATTCATCGTATAGATTATTTCCCCAAAAACAGAAAAAAAAAAAATGTTTTTGAAAAACTAAATCTTGACCGTCCCTAAAATAGACGGTTTACCCTGGCAATGGAGATATCATTTAGGGGAAAGCTTTCTATGTTCGCCTACAACATACAAGTTCTATCCTTCCCTTGCCATTTAACTGTTCATTTTTTATCAAAAGAGTCACTCACTGTTTGATCTTAGATCCCACGTCTCAAAATATTTTATTTTTAGTTTTTTTTTAATACAAATTTTTTGAACATGAAATTTGGTACGTGTTATCTTCTCATTGGGGCACGCCTATAAAAAATAGTAACAATAATTTTTCGATAAAAAATAGTGACCAAAAATCCCTTAAAACTTTTAGGGGTATTTTGGACATTTTATTTTATTCAAAATAAATTTTTTATATTTTTTGTTAGAGTGAGTTTAATAGAGGAATGGACGTCCAAAATTTGGTATCAAAATAGTTTATAGAAAAAAATAAAAATAAAATAGTGTAGAGACGTGACATTGTAGTTGGGCCAATCTTAGCCCTCTATTAAAAAGTGGACGGTTGGATAAGGGGGAGATAGAACTTCTATATTGTAGGGGAATATAAAAAGCTATCCCAACATTTAGAGCACTTCGAGTTTTGATTTTTTTGTTTTTTATTTTTTTATTTTAAGGATGATTGATCACTAGGATGAATTATATAACTCAAAATAAAATAAAATAAATATGAGTCACGAATTTTAGGTGCCCAACAAAAAGTAGGGTTTTTTTTGGGGTAGATCAGTGGGGAATATAGACCCCTATCTGTTTTTTTTTTTTTAAATAATTAGTAGTTTTTTAATGCGCCAGTGTGAATGAAAACTTAAATCGATAGTTGAAGCTCAAGTGATGTGCCCCATATATTTTTCCTCCTATGTTATTGCTTTTTTTATTGGTTAGTAATTTTTCTCGACAAATTAATTTAAACTGAAACCTTTGAAATTGAATCGTGAACCCTTAGCAAATTACTTCTTATGGCTTCATTCGTGTATTTAAGAAAGGGCAAGCTTTGTATGCTTCCCCTATAGCATAGAAGTTCTATCCTCCCCTTTATCCAATCGTCCATTCTAAATGGAGGGCTAAGATTGCCCCCAATCACAATGTCACTTCTCTACACGATTTTATTTTTAATTTTTTTTTATAAACTATTTTGACACCAAATTTTGGACGTCCATTCCTCTATTAAACTTACACTAGCAAAACAAATATAAAAAATATTTTTAATAAAATAAAATAACCAAAATACCCCTGAAAGATTCAAGCGGTATTTTGGTCATTATATTTTATCAAAAAATTATTTTTAATATTTTTTTATAGGTGTGCCCCAATGAGAAGATGGGATGTACCAAATTTTATATTCATACAATTTGTATATAAAAAATAAAAAAAAAATACTTTCAGATGTCGGATCTAAGATCAAATGGTGAGTGACTCTCTTGATTAAAATTGGATGGCTGGATGGTAGGGGGAGGATAAAACTTCTATGCTTTAGGGGAAGCATGAAAACCTTTCTCTTTAAGAAAAAAAAAAATATATAAAGAGACCATTTATTTTTAATACAAAGAGGTCATAATCACTCTTGTCCATCATATTTCAAATCGGGTGGTTATGAGTGTCTCATTGACAGACTCAAAGTTCAATTTTTTTTTTTTCTCAAACTTTTTGATATACCCAAAGTCATCCAACTTGACATCCAATGGCTAATAACAATTGTGATTTCTTTCTATCAAAGAAAAACACAATCATTGTGTACAATCCCTTACGAAAAACACCTTCTTCATACCCAACCAAGACCAATGGTCTCATTGTGTACAATCCCTTACAAATTGGTTTAGTTTGAGGAAAGCTTCCCATTTGATCCCATCCACACATAAAGTGTATGTGATCCTTGATCTCAACCGTTAGGTCCGAGTAGATTGCTAATATGGCTGAGTCACAATGTCACAAGATGGCTCTTGAGCGTCAGATCTTGATTTCACGTGTTAGAGTTTTTTATTTTTATTTTTTAACTTATGAATCATTTTGTATCAATTTTGGAGCATACATGCATCTCAAAAGGGCACACATGATAAAATAATAAAAAATATTTCATGTGATAAAAATTACTAGAATACCTTTGAATCTTTTAGGAACATTTTGATCATTTATTTTCATGAGAACTATATAATGTTATTTTTAAATAGAGAAAAAGTGAAGTTAGTTGGAGGGTTTGACCACCTCATTGACTTTTGTAAAAGTACTCTGACCATTTAAGCGTTATTTTCCAATAAAAATAAGAAAAGTTATACATGCAGCAAGGAGCACCTAAGAAAATAATGAAAAAGCTTGTTTTGATGCTGAAAAACTTTCTTTACCATCAAAATGTTATTTTCAGGATGTAAGTGTTTATAGATCTATCCAATCTATACTATTTCTTGATATTTAAATCTCATAACTAGATGTGGAAGTAAATTTTTAGATAATCTCATGAATTTCTAGTACTAAATTTGTATCTTCCAACTCGATTTGAAGTTATTATGATGCTTTAAAGTTGATGCTTTAAGTAAATCACACCCATAAAATAACACAAAATGATTAATAAAAAGATGAAACAGAGGAGAGGGACCCTTCTCCATGTAATTGAGAGAAAATAAAAAAAAATAACACAAAATGATTAATAAAAAGATGAAAGCGAGGAGAGAGACCCTTCTCCATGTAATTGAGAGAAAATAAAGGAAACGATCTTTCGAGACAGACTATAGAGTTCTAGGGCCTTTTATTGTTTTATTTCAAAACCTGTCACTTTATGTTTATATGGCCTTTTATTGTTTTATTTCAGAACCTCTCACTTTATGTAGCACCGCCCAACTCAATTATCAGGTTGTGGTTTTGAATCTTGCTCATACCATTGAGCGACACCTTTAAAAGAAAAAATCTAATATATCTAAAAAAATAGGTAGGTGCCTATCTTCTCCATAGAATTACTCAAAATAAATAAATAATAATAATTTCACCCATATGTACCAATAACTTGGTACCAGGAGTGTTTCAAAACCCAAATCTATGGAGTTGATCATTTACCTAGAAATCCTAGTTGAATCAGATCTAGATTGAGCATGGATCGGTTTGAATAGGTGATCTAAAAAAATATTTAAAATAAAATAAATAAATAAATAAATAAATAAAATAAAAAAATCAGATCTAGATAGGGTACGAGGCCATTTATTTTGATACAAAGAGGTCACAATCTTTTTTAACCATTGGATGTTAAATCCAATAGATTGAAACGTCTCATAACATTCAAGAAATTTTATTACGAACTTTGTGTCCAATCAATAAAACATCATCAACCTATTAATTTCACATCTAATAGTTAATAATGATTGTGACCTTCTTGTATCAAAAGTAAATAGTCACATTGTACACATTTCTTAAAAGAAAATAAAAGGTTAGTAGTTAAGCTTTAAAGTAGACTAGGATCCATATCATCCAATAACTAATTCCTATCTAGATCGACTATTCATATCGAAATCATGACTTAAGCCCGCTATCTAGTTGATCTCTATGGAGTGTTTGATTTTTTAAAGATGTAGTTTCACAAATCACGTTTTTCAATACGATAGGACTTTGCCATTTTTAATAAAAAGTGTTATGCTAAAACTGGATATCATGGTATCCACCACCATTCATTTTAATATTAGTTCTACATATAACTATAAAACTTTTAATATTTACTTCTTTGAAATATGTGATTTAAAAAATATGTGATTTCAGAGAAGTGTAAGAAAGTCAAGCCCCTTTTAACGATTTTCACACGTTTTTGCCGAGTCAAAAGAGGATAAGATCCTCGTAACGTCTCACCCGGCCCATTGCGCATAGGCCAAGGAATAATTGAAGACCATGTCTCGCACCAAAACACATAATCGTAACGGAATCCCCAAAAGACTCGTCCACTTGCCACAACTTTCCTCACACGTGTGTTAAGCCCACAATGGCATTGACACGTGCCACGTATAAGAAAAGCTTCTCATCCTTTCCTATGCATGCATTCAGACGTGTCGAGGCGAGAACACGAGACGACAATTTAGCTCATGTCCCAATTATGCCCACAACAAAAAAGTCAATTAATTTATTAAAAGATAAATGCCCTTCTAAAAAAAATATATTTTAGAAAGGAAAAAAGTTTATATAAGATTGCGATTTGAAAATGTAGAATTACAAATGCATCTCAAAACTATATCAGAAAGGTTGTTTTAATGATAAAAAATCATCATCTCGATATCAAGATGTATGAATATAAAAAAATAAAATTTTAAGTCTAAAAAATAGTGTATCTCGCAACATATCATCTAGACTGTCCATTTTCAAGATTTTCATATGTTTATAGATATCCTTGATTACAATTATATTTGGAGTTTAAAAGTTTCTAATTAGATATGAAAATAGATTTTAAGATAATACTAAGAGTTTTTTATAACAAAATTACATATTATGATAAAATTTGGAGGTGCACTTTAGTTGGATTGTTTATGGTTCAACCTTATAAACACCGCATCTTTTAGAAAATAGATATTATATTTCCGTGTTTTCTAAGAAAAAAAGTGTTTTTTTTTGCAAAATGAAAATAATTTTCTTCTTGAGAAAAGAATCCATTTTTTTCGAATTTTTTTTGGTTTACTTAAATTATTTTTTCACTTGAGAGAGAGAAAAAAAAAAAAATGAGAGTGAGTAAAAAAAAAATGTAATAGGACATGGTTTGCGTGCGATCAGTCCGCATGATAATTCCGATCACCACCGTCCAACACCAACTACCAACAAGTTGGACGGTGGTGATAGAAAGTTACCACGCGGGCTGCTTGCAAATAAACTTTTTACTAAGGGCAAGCCCAAAAAAATAGTGGTCAATAGGTTTATTATCTTTTTGCAGTCAATAGCTTTTATTAAAATGATAATATATATTAGACCTCTTTGATAAGGTGGGCATAAGCATCTTTAGTGTTAGTTACGAATTTGACGCTCGTAAAAAAAATTGTGGTAATCAATAGATTTTATCAAAGTGATATCATAAAATAAGATCATTTCTACTAAACCTCTTTCGTAAGGTAGTCATGATCATCCTTAATTGTTTGTTATGAAATTTAATACATGCCATAAAGTTGTAAAAATCCTCTTTTGAACTTTCATGTGGGTCAATAGACATTTGCCAAATTTCACACCTCATGTTTCTCTTATTTTGGTAAATCAAAATTTCATTGAAAAGGAAAACACACGAAGTGAACTCAATTCTCAAAAAAGAAGAAGTAAACACATGAAAGAAACATGTAAATTTAATAAATGTAAATATAAAAGAGAATTCACAAGAGGAAGAGCTTGGTGCAAATTTATTACTCGGCACTGTATAGAAAGTATTCATTTTTACAGAAGTACGTATGCATGGGAACACTGTTGAATAAGGAGAATTTTGACATCCTTATTTTTCGCAGGAGAAAAGGGCCAAAAAAAAATATCTCCTTGTTCGATTCTCCGAACTCTGTATTATCGCTAAATTGTACGACATATTACAATAAAAAAACACATATATCACAAGATAAACAAGAAAAGAAAAAAAATCAGACGTCCAACTGGGGCAGCTGGGTTTCATAGACTCCCTCCTCTGCCGCATGGCGTCGTGCCTGCTCCTGCTGAGGCTGCATCAACGGCTGTGATTCATGCTCCACTATCGCTTGGCCCGACTGTCATTTCCATTTTCTAAAATAAGTGAGTCAACTTATCTACAAATAAAATAATTGCCGGAATTAACATTTCCTTGTCAAAAAGAAAAAAATACCGGAATTACCATAACATAAAAAAAAAACGGGGGATTCCTCTGTTTCATGATTTAGTAGTTAATTTAAAATAATTGCTGGAATTAACATTTCCTTGTAAAAAAAAAAAAATACTGGAATTAAAATAACATAAAAAAACGGGGGATTCCTATTTTTCATGAGTTAGTAGTAAATTCAATATTTTAAATAGCTAATCATAATAACCCAATAAAAAAACTGAAAAATTTATATACAAACCTAATATCAACATAACCAAATATGAAATAGTTAGCGAGGTAGGGCACCACAATGTGGCATTTTAAGTTCATTACTACAACGTGTACAAGGATCTTTTTTTTGAATTACCTGAAGCACACAAAAAAAAAAAAACAAAAAAAGCATAATAAATTTAATTTTTTTTCATATATATATATATATATATATATATAAAAAAGTGAAGTTCAATACTTCACCTACACCTCATCACCGTCTAAAGTTCATCACACGGTCATAATTGTCTGGTAGTATTTGGATTTTAATAATTATTTTACAAATCATATTTATTTAAAATTTGAGACGTGTATACATATGGCCAAGTCACACCAAAATAAAATATATAAAAAAAATAATAATAAAATAAAATAACAAAAATACCCCTAAAACTTCATAAGGGTATTTCAAGTCATTTTTATCATCCAAATTATTATTTTTTATATTTTATTCAGGTGTACCTCACTATGCCGCGTACACCTATAAAATTTTAGATTATTATGGTTTAGAAAATAAATATTAAAATTTAAATACTATCCTACTTCTGTGGTCATATGATGAACTTTAGACTGTGATAAAATTGTATACGAAATATGGTAGAACCTCGCGTATAAACGTAGGCGTTTTGTAGTGTTTTCCTTTATATGTATTTATATTTATATTTTTATATTTTAGTACCTGAATTATAGAAGAATAAGAGGTTGGGATGAGGGCGGACATGAGCTCTTGGGCGCTGTAAGCGTGGTGGTGCTGCCATTCTGGCACGTTCCGGTTGAGTGATACGTAGTCTTCATGACACGTGTCACTCTGCAATTGGCTATCACTCTTCATAGAAGTGCTTACGTGGCAATCGCTGAGGTGGGGCTCCATTGATATACCCGCCTGTTGTTGTGATAACGCCTCGTACATGGAGTGTGCTTGATCCCTACTAACCAAGAGAAAAGAAATAAAAATCAGAGGAAAAAATGATTATAGATTAAAGTATTTAGAAATATTATTTCTATAGAACCTTAATGGAATTTCAAGTAGGTTTGATTAGATATGATTTTTGTTCAAACTCCTTCAAACTATACAAGTGCAAATTCAAAGAAACAGGAATCATTAATAGACACGGTTTTGTTGAGTCAGCTGACTCACCTTCCAAATTAGATCATGGTTAGATTATTGAACTCTAAAATTTTGAATTGAAAATACATCTTTGAGATATATTTTGCAGAGAGTCCGTGAAAAAATAGTGTGAATCGGCTGACTCTAACACTTCTACATCATTAATAGGAAAGATGATTTTTTCTTTGTTTTTTGAGAAATGCTAAGATTTTGGATTACCAGAAGGCAAAGTGTTAAAGAAATATAGCAATACCAATAACTGATTGATGAAATAGTTAGTAAATTTTTGGTTAAATTGTGTTTTTGTTAATTTGTATAAGAGAGAGCTTATAAAAATGTGTTACTCTTATATTGTGGAAATAAGGTACGCGTTAAAAACTCATTGGAAAAAGTTATTGTTATACTTAAAAACTCTTTAATTGATCATCTCAATATCAAGATATACAACTATGGAGAAATTTTTTTTTTCAAGTTCTAAAATTGTATATCTTGTAATGTACAATCTAGAATGTACGTTTTAGAGATTTCATGAGTTTGGAGATATGCTCTATTTGTATCAATTTTTACTTTTAAATTGTATAATTATATTTGCAGTAAATTTTGGATCATCGTTGAAATTTATGACACTGAAATTACATCTTTCCACATGTACGATGGTGTAACTTACTTGGATTGTTTAAAGTTGATACCTTATACAAACTACACCTATTTTTATAAGGCTTTATTGTTTTGAAAAACAAAAAAGAAAAAAAAAAAAACAGTGATGGTGAGCCCTTCAAGAATTATGAAAATAAGTTTAAAAAAATGCCCAAGGTTTTGAATTATGGAAAGGGCTAGTGTTAAAGAAACATTGCAATTTGATGAAAGAATTAGTAGTTTCTGGTTAAAATGGGAAGATATTGATTTGTATAACGCCATATTGTTAAAGTAAATTACAATGGATTCTGACATTTAGGTTCGGGAATTTTTATTTTTTGTTTTTTAATTTTAATTTAAAATTTTTTTTTATTACATCCAAAAACCAATCAAACAAGGACTAAAAAAAAAAAAACCATTATTTGAAGTTCGAAAGTACCTCAAAGAGATCATGTGGTCAGAGCCAAGGTAGACCTGGACTGAGTTGTTTTGTTGTTGGGTGGTGTTGTGAGAGAGCCAATTCACAGGCTGATGATGATTCTCAAATGAGCCTGCCATCCCTTCCTGTCCTTCCATGTACATCTGCTTCAATTTTCATTTTAAACAAATAAAAAGAACATAAATAAAAGTAGAAATTAGAGAAATCAAGAATACAAAAGAAATAGATTGGTCCCTCTAAAATAGCAAAAAATGGGTAAGTAATATATATATATATATATATATATATATATATATAGTAGGAA